AAGAATAACTCCCTAAGCTAAAGAAAAGTGTATCTACTGAGATATTAGGAAGTTCTAGGCTTAATCATGGGGGGCTCACCATATCCTAACCTGGACTGGGGTAAAGGATGACACCTCTCTGCCTCCATCCCAACACTCAGGAGGAGCTGGAGTTTCCTCCTTGAACACATCTGCTCTATCCAAGGGCCAGAGCAGATTCACAAGCATATTCTATCTGTCTAGAATAACTCCCTAAACTGCAGAAAAGAATATCTAGTGAGATATTAGGAAGTTCTAGGCTTAATAATGGGGGGCTCATTATATCATCCCCTGGACTGGGGTAAAGCAAGGCACTGCTCCCATCCCAACACTCAGGGTGAGCTGCAGTTTCCTCCTTGCACAGATCTGCTCTAAGACCCTACAGCAGATTCACAAGCATATTCTACTTGTCTAGAATAACTCCCTAAGCTAAAGAAAAATATATCTAGGGAGATATTATGGAGTTTGAAGCTTAATAATGGAGCTCAGTGTGTTGTGTTTTAAGGCTTCCAAGCAGGTATTGTATTTGAAATAAGCAAGTATTGTTTAACCAAAGGTACATGTGATTATAGTGGCTGGATAGAACTACTGTCAATGTGCTTTTGCTTTGTGTGATTGGTCAAAAAACTTTTAAAGTGAGTTGTAGCATTAAGTTCTTTGTCTGCTGCCTGGGATGTGAGCTGCTGGCAGCTTCCCACTGTCATCACCATGGAATGAGGCTGATGCTGGGAAATAAACAGCTCAAGCAGCAGTCCCATCCTGTTGGTGATTTGTACATAGACCCTGGCCAGAGATGCTGCCCAGCACTGGTCCCACACAGCTGCTGAGCTGCTGCCACAGTTTCCTCTGGCACAGGGAACCCAGCACAGCCAGAGCAGAGCCCTGCTGGAGGGCACAGGGAGCTCTTCCCCAAGCCTGGCCCTAAGTGGGTGCTTGGAACATGAGGATCTCCTCACCCCCTCAGCACAGACACACAAAATCCTGTGTTTCTGGTCAGTCCCCAGTGTCTCCAGTGTCTGCTGAGGCCCTGAGCCAGGGACACGAAGAGCACACAGGGGGACTGTGCTGTAGGACAGGTGCTGTGCCCAAACCCCCAGCTCAGTGGCACTGACCTCCCTGCACTAAGGGAGTGGAAATGGATCCTGAACCCAGAGAAGCACAGATTAAACTGATTTTTGTGTGTTTTAGGCCCAGTGACAGTGCTGTAAAGATACAGCAGCTTTCAGACCCTCCCTTGCAGCATGAGGCCAACAGGACACCCAAACCCAGCCCAGGAAGTGCCTGGTGGCCTTGCAGGAACAGACTCCCATCCCAGCCATCCATACCACGCTGGCTCCTCCCGGTCCTTGGCCTCCTCCACGATCTTATCCAGCAAACTGAAGAGTCCCTCCAGATTCCCTTCATTCTTCACCTCCTGGATCTCCTCCTGAGAAGGAAGGACACGAGGTGAGCAAACACAGGCACCACTCTGCTTGTGAGCCTTGGATGGTCAGGGAATCAGGGAATTGTTTGGGTTCAAAGGGACCTTAAAGCACATCTAGTTCCACCTTCCACTTTCCCAGGCTGCTCCAAGCCCTGTCCAACCCGGCCTTAAATTCTGGGCACCCTGTGCCAGGGCCTCCCCACCCTCACAGGGAATTCCTTCCCAATATCCCATCTAACTGGGGGAAACAATTCCCCTTGTCCTGTCACTCCATCCCTTATCCAAAGTCCTTCTGGCTTTGCTCTGGATGAAAAGCTGGAACCATGGATGATGAACACCCTGTGAATCACAGTTCCTGGGGGTATTTAACAGATGTGTGGATGTGGCACTCAGGGACATGGTTCAGTGGTGGCCTTGGCCGTGCTTTGACTCCATAGTCCCAGTGGTGTTTTCCTGAACGATCCCGCAGCTTTTTCTGGGGAAGGCAGAACTCTAGAGAGCAGCCTCAACTTTCTGCTTTACATTTAGGAAATATATTTGCTGCCTTCAATATCAACCTGTTCAGCATTTTTCCACCGGCCCCCGGGTGGCTCCCTTGCTCACCTTGATGGACGTCTGGAGCTGGGAGATGAACTGATCGTAGATGCTCCTGGTCAGCTGCGGCTGCAGCTTGTAGAAGCAGCGGTAGCAGCTGACGAACCTCTGGTAGCTGCAAGGAGGGCAGGATCAGAACCGGAGGCGTGTTAGTGATGGGGATGGCGGCAGGGCTGCTCCCGGGGGTCCGG